ATGCTTCTCGGCTCTCCCCATAAATTGCATAATGCTGGATCTTTAACTTTGTCTGTTGATGGTGTTGCTCTGGAGTTACAAAGAAAATGTAAAAATCGGGACGTTATTTTTGATCCCAGCTTGTCATTTGAGCCTTTCGTGCTGAACACTGTTAAGCTCTTGTACTTTCATCTCAGAAATATTGCACGGCTGCGACCTTTGCTGTCTTTCTCGGTTGCTGAAAGGTTAATTATTTTGTCTTTTCTCGTTTAGATTACCTTCTTATTGGAGTCTCCAAATCTTGTATTAACAAACTACAATATTTACAAAATTCAGCAGCTAGAATTCAGTCAGGGGCCAGGGTTGTTGATCATATAACTCCTGTTTTGGAACTGTTGCATTGGCTCCCGGTTAGATTCCGTATTGATTTTAAAGTTCTCATGTTAACATACAAGGCACTGCATGGTCTGGCTCCTCAGTACTTGGCTGAGCTTTTAATTCCCTATACACCTAGTCACAATTTGCGATCTTCTTAGAGTGGTCTTTTAGTCGTTCCTTTTAGTCGGGGGTGATCGGGCATTTTCATCTTTAAGCTCTCCATTGATGTATGGTTTGTTAGGATAGGACAATATTTGGCCGAGATACAACTATTTGAAAATCTGGAATCTGAGGGTGCAAAAAAATCAAAATATTGAGAAAAATCGCCTTTAAAGTTGTCCAAATTAAGTTCTTAGCAATGCATATTACTAATCAAAAATGAAGTTTTAATATATTTACAGTATTGGAAATTTACAACATATCTTCATGGAACATGATCTTTACTTAATGTCTTAATGATTTTTGGCATAAGAAAAATCAATAATTTTAACCCATACAATGTATTTTTGCCTATTGCTACAAATATACCCCAGCGACTTAAGACTGCTTTTGTGCTCCAGGGTCACAAATAATTGTGTCCCTTTTGTTTGAAAAAAAAAAAAAACTGCCAATGTGGTAAGAAACATAATCTTAATTCAAGGGGAAAATCATTGTTACAGATTTATTATTTTATTAAAACAGCAATGCATGAGCAGTTCCTCCACCTAAGAGTAGTCCCACCTAAAAATGATGGTTTAGATTGTAAAGCTAACAAACATGTTTATGTTCAATAACAAAAATACTACATGCACATTTTGGCAAATTACAGATGCTATTAAAACATAATATAAGTTTTGTCCTGAAACAGCATTTTTTTCAATACATTTCTAACCCCTTCAGCAAACATACTATAAATAGAGCCCAAATTGTCAATATAATTGGATTGTGTGTGTCAGGTGCTCCTCCTCAGATCCAGCAGTTTCCTGACGATATGAAGATCCTGGCGGGTCAGGAGGTCAGTCTGCTGTGTCAGTTTACTGGAGCTCAGCCCATCAGCTGCACCTGGCTCAAGTTCCGCAAACCAGTAAGAGTCCTTTCACCTTTTAACATGTGCAGAAGCCCTGAGCAAAAGAGAACGACTGCTGAATGTTTTATTCTTAAACATGCAGATGACACATGAACTCACTCACTAGTCCTTTTTTAAATGCTTTGAGTAACATTAGGGGCAGTCGTGGCCTAATGGTTAGAGAGTCGAACTTGTAACCCGAAGGTTCGAGTCTCGGGTCCGGTAGGGATTGTAGGTGGGGGGAGTGAATGTACAGCGCCCTCTTCCACCCTCAATACCACGACTGAGGTGAGACCCTTGAGCAAGGCACCGAACCCCCAACTGCTCCCCGGGCATCGCAGCAAAAATTCAAATGTTCATGGTGTGTGTGTGTTCACTACTCACTGCTGTGTGTGTATGTGTGCACTTGGATGGGTTAAATGCAGAGCACAAATTCCAAGAGTATGGGACACTTTCAAGTTGTTTTTTTTATATAAATTGGTGTGTCTAAAAATGCTGTCTAGGTAGGCAGCTCACAGCTTTTCAGAGACAGCCATCATCCTTAATGACCAAACACACCGCAAGCACTGGCATATCCCTCTGAAAACATCTTTGTTACTCCCATTTATTCCATTTAGTTGACTTTCCAATTAAACGGAACATTTGGAGTAGCCTGTGTCTACAGCTAGCAGGTGTGTTCATGTTGGTTCTGCGCATCCTTTGCTCCTTCAGATTCAGGAAGGTCAGGGCATCTCGGTGGTGAGCACAGACAGCAGCAGTCAGCTGACCATCACAGAAGGACAGCAGGAGCACTGCGGCTGCTACACCATCGAGCTCAAGAACAGCCACGGCGTGAGACAGGCCGCCCTCAACCTCACTATAGTCGGTAAGTGTGGACGCTAGTGAACACTGGGGCATCTGGGAGTCATTACATGAATTTCACAACATTTGATAAAGCACAAAAATGTACTTTCAAATACCAACTAAAAGACGGAGGTGTTCACACAGGACGGGATTGTATTTGTCAACATAAATGTGTTCTACCCAAGATGAGATTTGTTAAAACACCAGAGGGAGAGACATTTTCATGACAATGTCATCAGCAAATTTTACTATAGGAATACAGTGCAATACATATAAAATGAACAGTAAAAATCTAGCGTAGCGTTAGTTCTGGCAGGTCACGTTAGTCAAGCTCGCATCAGCTGACTCTCAGCTGATCCCCATCAGCCTATGGGAATACGACACCTATCTAAGTTCATATATAAGGTCCCGCAGTAGTATCAGCAGTTTTCGCATTGCTCAATAGCTAATTACCCTCCTCCATCCCCAACTCCTCCTCTGTCAGTCAGGATTCAGCCTTCTGATTCTCCTTTGAATCAGACTAATTCTAAAATGTGTACATAACATTATTGAACTTTAACGATATCTGCAATACATTTATGTTGGTTCTGTTCTGTTTACCCCTGGGGGGGTTATCGCTGCTCTCCCTGCTCTCATCCATGCTAGGCCGCATGGATGCGCAGGGAGTTCTTGCCCAGAACAGAACCATACCGCCAGGCCCTGTGAGAAGATTTCGATTTTTTATCTGTCCCTACAAAATTTGTACAGTATTCCATCATGCCATGCACATTTTACAATACTGCTTACAGTAGTGGACAATAAACAAATTAAGTACTTGAGTAAAAGTACAGATACCCTGATAAAATATTACTCCAGTAAAATTATAAGCGCTCATTTTCAATGAGCAAAAGTACTTGATATTTAATAGACTGAAGTATAAAAAGTAAAACATTCTAGAACCATGTTTATTTATTCTAGCCAGAACGAGTCAATAAAAAAAGATGCAGTGCAGACATTTAATTTGCATTGCTTTAATATAATTAAATATCTTCAATTTAAGTTACTTATCATTCTAGCTTGCAAACAATTGAAAAACTAAATTTAAACAGAGGGAAAACTAAATTTGTGTAAATGGTTAGTGACAAATTATATATATAAAAAAATCAGATTGGCAGATTCACACTGAGAAAGAATGTGTTAACAGGAAAATGCTATGCAAACATGCTCGTTTGATATCATTTGAAATTAACAGCGGAGAAGATCATCAGTTCAAAATAACGAGGAACGATATGTGGTTTTGTTGTTGTTGTTGTTTTTCAAATGTAGTGGAGTAAAAGTTTCCCAAAAGAAAAATAGTCTGATAAAGTACAGATACTTTAAAAATGTACTTAAGTACAGTAATAAAGTAAGTATGCTTCATTGCTGTCCACCTCTTGCTGATTATAATGCTGAAAATGCTGTGAATGAAAGAGCAGTGACAGTAACTATAGATAATCTCACCTCATATTGAGGATGGCAGTAGATATTAAAACTGTACAATGACCACTTATGGACATTAGACCTAACATTTTTGCCATAATATTAACCCATTTACTTACTTTTGCACTCTGACAAATCTGTAATTGGTTGTTATTTTTTAAATGGCATTAGGAATACCCCCGCACCCCATGTCTGAATGAAATTCACACCTTAATTCTACCCCATACCTTGTCCGATGTGTAAAATCATACAGAAATTGACTTTAAAAATCAGTAGCAGTACAGTACTGCCTGGCATTAATGGTTTAGAAATTATTTTGATGTTTGACCTAAGACTAAAATGACAAATCGCTCTCAGAACACGGACTGTATCTTCTGTTACAACCACACAATGCTGGGCTGAAATGCTAGCTGCCAAGTAGTGCACTTGTAGGTGATCTGACCTCTCTGTTGAATTTTAGGACACAATGTCTCTCAATCCAGCTTTTATCTTGGTCTTCACAGATAAACCCGACCCCCCTGCCCGCATCCCAGCAGCCTCCGACATCTGTAAGTCCAGCCTCACACTGTCCTGGTACGGGCCGACATACGACGGCGGCAGCGCCGTCCAGTCCTACAACCTGGAGACGTGGAGCTCTGTGGACATGAAGTGGACAGATCTGGCTTCCTGTAACAGCACCTCCTATAACGTGCAGAACCTACTTCCAGACAGACAGTACAAGTTTCGAGTGAGAGCAGTGAATATTTATGGTGTGGGAGAGCCCAGTGCCGAGTCTGCGCCCGTGCAGGTGGGGATGGAGGCTGAAGGGGGTGAGCACCACCTAGTGGATGTTAAGAGTTTTATAGGAGACACAAAGAAGAGAGTACAATGTTAACTTTGGTTATTTCAGTAAATAAAATAAAATGAAATTTATATAAAAAATAAAATATGCTGTAATAACATTCTGTTGCTTTTACAGAAAATAAGGAAGATGAAGCTGAGCCCTCAGATGACGGTAGGTGTCATGTTTGTGAAATTGAAGTTAAAATCGTTACTGTCATTTTTTTTCTATTTTCCCGCTTACATTTAGAGGAAATGGTGAGGTTGTACATATAACCAAACGTGTCATATAGAACATATATGTTCTATATGACAGGTCGGTCCTGTTAGTACTGGTGTCCCTCAGGGCTCATTACTTGGTCCCTTGCTTTTCAGGATTTATATTTTTCCTCTTGGGCAATTGTTTAGATTTCTCGAACTTAACTACCATTTTTACGCTGACGATACCCAGATTTACGTCCACTCTAATCCGGGCCAAGATGTGAGTATTTCCCATCTCTCAGCACTGTCTCCAAAACAGAAGTTATGCTTCTCGGCTCTCCCCATAA